GGTTTTTGTGTTTGTAAAAATGTCAAATGATCATGATTTCTTTGACAATTCAAATCTCTTATGCTAGGTCCCACATACTGAAGTCTTCTACAGTTTGAATGCAACCATTGTTGGTTTAGCAGTTAGTTCTAAACAGCCAGAAAATATGCCATGGTGTGTTGGTCTTGGTAGGCATTTTTCTTTGCTGTAATGCCATACTTAGTCAATTACATTTAATATTTTCCTTCATTCTATTTTCCTTACAGTATTCTTGGTAAATCAGTGAGTCCTAATGTCAGCCAGAAATTAACATTTATCGTCGTTGAGAAATATCATGTTTTTGTCCTCATTGAATGCCTCTATTGAACCAGGAATTGTTAGGGGAATCGATACATTCAAAGGTTTGCTCTACTTAATCTCGCCTGTGCCACCAACACTTCTGGAAAAGGTTGATCTTCTTCTGCAGGGATTTATCCATATTCCTACTTGCTTATTGCAGGTAATTGATCCTTGTTCAGCCTCACTACATGTTTCTTACACTGTTTTGGTTTGTTTTGTAACTGTGTCTCTTATTTTTGTCAACTTTCTGTCCCCCTTCATCTATTTTCTTGTGGTTTACTTGTCTGCTTTAATGCAATAGAAGTCAATTCATCTGTCTTCTTCTCATTAACATGGCATTGCAAACAAGAAAAAAAATGCTTGTTAGTTTTGAATGCACAGCTTAGGATGATATTCATGTTGCATAGCTGGATTGAAATATTGACTTTTTGTTGCCTTGCCCTGCCTTTTCTGAAAAATTGCCTTGTGCTGGCTGCAGTGTGATTTTGTCTTGACTTCAAAATACTTTTCTTCGGCTCCTGCATGCCTAAGTTTTGGCACGGCTGATTATGCCTTGGTTATGGCACGGCTGCTGATGCCTCTGGCTTGGCATTGCAGCCCTTGTCTAGACTGGTAGATGACAATAGGAACATCATTTACTAGGTCAGGTTAGGCAAGGCAAATGCAAGTTTTGCCTAGGCAATATGGATGAAAACTCCACAATGGGAAGATGTTAGGTAGGATGCAGCAGTTATGATACTATGCCAAATGTTGTCGTGTCCTGAAAAGAATCTTCTTATGATTCTGTATATTCCAGCTTCAGAAAGGTTAGATGTTAGGTAGGATGCAGCAGTTATGATAGTATGCCAAATGGTGTCGTGTCCTGAAAAGAATCTTCTTAAGATTCTGTATATTCCGGCTTCAGAAAGGTTGCATGTATTCTTTCATATTCATTTCATAGCCAAAAGAAGTAGCATCCTCTCACTGTCATGATATCTGTTCACCTGTCCATAATGGTTTTCCTTCAACCAAATGGCAATAGAAGGCTGTGTTTGCTTTATGGTGTAATAGTTGCTTTTGGTTCTAGGCAGATAGATGCCTGCGATGCTTCACTTATCTTATCTGCATTGCTATGAAGAAAACAGAGGTCCAGCACAATTTGCCCCATGCTAATGCAGACATAATCCAAATGACAGGAACAATCATTGTAGTGATTGTGCTTTGGTGAAAGATTGGCAGTTTTATATATTTTTCTCCACTTTAGATCTCATCTAAATACTGGAATTCTTTACAGGTGCAGGGATGCATGTCGCCTTACATGTCTGGGAATGTTTTGGCTACAAGCTAACTGATACGAGTTCACTGACCAGCCAGTTGCTTCATTCGCTGATCAAAATTGAAACTCGGTGTTAGTTTTTATATTTATCTTTCATTCATATAATATAATGTATGAAACAGCCCATTTATTGAAATTTTTATTGAAATTATCTGTGTTGACTTCCTTGCAACTTCATCTTAAACCCAAAATAAATTTGCCACACGGACAGCAGGTGGCTTGATCACATCCATATAATACTGAAAAGGGAACCAGGCCGAATCTATCTTTATGAAGCGGAAAGGCACTTCCATGTCAGAATCCTTGTAATTGAATTTAAAGCAGTGCACCAGTTGTGGTTGGTGTGGTTGATGAAAACCAAGCAAGTAAATTCGTATGTATGCTGAAGTGGATAGATGGCCCAATGGCTATTCAGCTATGAATTCAGATGGTGGCGGTTGTGATTGTTGTACTCGGTTTTAACTGCAGTCTAATGGGCTGTGGTGCCTCCAGCACCCTCAACGGCTGAAATAACCCGCCCGATATCGGCATATTCATGATTCCGTGGCTCGGGCTCTTTACCATTACAGTGCTTGGTGACCCATTGAAGCCCGGCCAATGAATCATCGTCTTATATTAAATTATTATTATTATAGAAAACACTAAAAGGACGCCCACCATAGAAAATGTGTCAAGGATTCGTGAAAAATACTTTTAGATTCTTTAATTTTAAAAATAGTACAAAATTTAGGTTCTTTTAAATCTAAAAAATCACTTTTTGGCGCAAAAGTTTAATATTATTTTTCAGTTAATGGTTATGGTTAGAGAGGGGAGAAAAAAGGATGAGAAAAAAAGTTGATTAATTTATTTTTAACTATTAAAATAGATTCGATTGGTTTCTCTGAGCTCCAATAGATTTAATGGTGGTGTTTTCGAGTTTAATATTACTTAAAAAAAAAAATATTTAGATCAAGAAAAATGAATTTAACTTGATTTAATTTCAAGTTTTTCAATTTTTTTAAGTTAATGGGTTGATTTGTAAGTATTTTAAAAATGTTAATGAGACTTTTTTAGGTTGAATTAACTTAAAAAAAATTTATAGAGCAAAAATGGACTTACAAACAATACATCATCTATTTATTTAGATCATTTATCCACATAAAAAATAAAAATAAAATCAATATCAGTAATAGACTTTTTCTTATAATGAGTCAAAAAATAAAATAATTTTTAAATTTATATTTCAATTAATATTACTCACTTGTAATTGTTTTCTTATTTAACATTTTTGTAATTGTTTTCTTATTTAACATTTTTTTGGTATAATTTTTTAAAATTATTTTATGTATATTTAATTTTTATAGAGATTTTTATGATTTATTTATAATTTTTTTATATAAATAATTATTTTAAAAAATAAAAAATATTTATTTTTATATAATATTTCTAATATATACAGTCTTTCAAAGCAGTGCACCAGTTGTGGTTGGTGTGGGTGATGAAAACCAAGCAAGTAAATTGGTATGCATGCTGAAGTGGATAGATGGCCAATTGGCTATTCAGCTATGACTTCAGATGGTGGCGGTTGTGATTGTTACACTTGGTTTTAACTGCAGTCTAATCTCAACGGCTAGAATAACCTGCCTGATATCGGCATATTCATTATTCCATGGCTCGGGCTCATTACCATTACAGTGATTGGCGAACCATTGAAGCCCGGCCAATGAATCATCCTATTATATTAAATTATTATTATTATTATAGATAACACTAAAAGCACGCCAAACATAGAAAATGTGTCAAAGATTTCGTGAAAAATACTTTTAGGTTCTTTAATTTTTTTTTTTTAAAATTAGGTTCTTTCAAATTTTAAAAGTCATTTTTTGGTGCAAAAGTTTAATAGTATTTTTCAGTTAATGGTTATGGTTAGAGAGGGGATTCTAGCAATAAAAAAAAGTTATTCAAGTTGTTATTTTTTAACCATCAAAATACATTTGATTGGTTTCTATGAGTTTCAGATAAATTTAATGGTGATGTTTTAAAGTTTTAATGTTACTTAAAAAAATATATCTAAATAAAAAAAAATATTTAACTTGATTTAATTTTAGGTTTTTGAACTCCTTTGGAGTTAGGTTGATTTGTAAGCATTCCAAGAATGTTGGTGAAACTTTTTTAAATTAAAATGACTTAAAAAAATTTTTAGAACAAAAGATATGATGCTATGTTTTCACAACTATCACAATAATAGCTAGAATTTGAACTCACAAACAACACTCCATCTATTAATTTAGGTAGTTCATCCATTTTAAAAAATATATAATAAAAATAAAATTAATATCAGGTACTCAAGTTTGGGCTTGAAGGTCAACCTACATATGAACTTTTCCTTGTAATGGGTCAAAAAAATAAAATAATTTTTGAATTTATATTTTAATTAATATCACTCACTTGTAATTGTTTTCTCATTTAATATTTTTTGGGTATAATTTTTTTAAATTATTTCACGTGTATTTAATTTTTATAGAGATTTTTTTGATTCATTTATAATTTTTTATATAGATAATTTTTTTTAAAAAATAAAAAATATTTATTTTTATATAATATTTTTAATATATACAGTTTTGTAGTTATTTTATTTTATTGAATTAAATTAATATGTACATCTATTAAAAATATTTATATTAAAAAAATATTTTACGGGAGAGCAAAGGGTGAGGCGTGGTGATTCTACGTTGTACAATACACTGTAAATCGGCTCACGAGACAATGTGGACACATATTCAGAGTGTTTTCTTCACAAAATGTATCTCACAGAACTTCCAAGTAGCCAAACATCGCATATTAATTTCATTAAAATAATCTGTCATCAGCAACTTTGCAAAGCACCTGCTCTTTTAGAAGGAGGTGCCCTCCTGCTGCTCTAAGCCCCACAATATCAACAAGCAGTTTTTGAAGATAGAGGCAACTGACAGATCATTCCCTTTTGCATTTCATTTAACATTCATTGCCTTTTCACCCTCGATTTAGTTTGTTGAGGAGTGCTTGATAGACCGTTAATTCAGGTATATGGTCTGCATGCAAGCCCTCAATTCTCCCGCAAAATTTTGCTACTTATAGCCATGGCCACCCAAATTTCCATAACTAAAAGCGTACCACCTCCTCTCAGTTCCTCTCCCTCACACATTTACAGAAAGAAAGAAAGGTCATGATCACGGTCTGGTTGATTCCGTCACCAACTCCCTGGTCATGATCTCTTATCTTATCATCCTTTCAGACCTTATATTCCATCCATCTTTCTATCTCCTTGCATCCATCTGAATACAAGTTAACATTTTATTATTATATTTTCTTTCCTCGTTTTGGTTCTTGATTCTAGGATCACATAGCTATGGCAAAGAGATCATTTAAACGTTTTGTGGAACAAGAACTTGGAAAACTTCCACTCTTCTTGATCTATGCCGTGCTCGAATGGGTGTTGATTGCTGTGCTATTTATTGATGGGTTTCTTGCTTTTTTTGCCAACGAATTCGCCAAGTTCTTTGAGTTGAAAATCCCTTGTTTGCTCTGCACGAGGATTGATCATGTCCTGGTTCATAGAGATGCTGATTTTTATTACAATGAATCCATATGTGGAACTCACAAGAAGGAGGTTTCATGTCTGGCTTACTGTCATGTCCACAAGAAGCTTTCCGATATACGAAACATGTGTGAGGGGTGTCTTCTTTCTTTTGCTACAGAGAGAGAATCTGATTGCGATTTATTCAAGTTTCCTGCAGGGGTTTTACATAAGGACATCGAGCTGTCTGCTGATGATGATCGTGACAGCCATTTGAGGTTGCCTGCTTTAGGAAATGACATCGTGGTGCCAGCTGACAAGAGCAGCCCCCATCAGTGCTCATGTTGTGGGGAACCATTGAAGGTAAAGTCGTACTCAAAGGGAAAGATTGCAGGCGTGCTCTCACAGGCTCCTGCTCCTTCTCCCCGAGCACCATTTGTTACTTTGAGAAATGAGGGCCCTCGCAAGTTGGATTTATCTCATGTGCGATACACAGAACTCAAGTTCTCAGAAAATGACTCGGAGCTCCATGATGATGAAGATGCCTCGAATGCATCACATCTAGTTAAGCAATGTTAGTTTTAAATTTAACTTTGTTCTTGCTTTCTCTGTCACTTCTTATGTGGTCTGGTTAAATAATTTTTCTCAACCTTTAAAGATCCTTTGATTATGCAAAATTTATATGCATGGTATTAATCAGTGAAAGCAAATCAAACTTGTCCATGTTATAAAATGCACATTCTTGAAGTGCAATGCTTGAATAGTTAATACTCTGCATGTTGTTGCTTCTTGGTGTTGATGACTCAGTTCTTAACAACCTCATTAATTTAGTGGATGGATTTTTTGTGCCAGTTAGGGAAGATGTCAAAGCTGCTATGGTGCCGTTGCTGACAGAAGCTGAGAATATGAATGAAGAAAGGACCCCTACATTTTCCAGAGGAAATAAGTTTTTCGGAATCCCACTAACAGATTCAGCCGCCGCTAGTCCTAGGGCATTTACTAGGTTTCCAAGGAAATCACTCCTCGACAAAACTGAACTTTCTTCAGAGACCATAGAAGGGACTTCTCTATCAAACGAAGTAGATGATGACTCAATTTTGCAACATTTAAAGAAACAGGTTCGTCTGGATTGCAAGTCGCTGATGGCTTTATACATGGAATTGGATGAAGAAAGAAGCGCTTCTGCTGTTGCGGCTAATAATGCAATGGCCATGATCACCCGGTTGCAAGCAGAGAAGGCAGCTGTTCAGATGGAGGCATTACAGTATCAGAGAATGATGGATGAGCAGGCAGAGTATGACCAAGAGGCCCTGCAAGCAACAAGGGATATAGTTTCCAAGAGAGAGGAACAAATCAAGACTTTGGAGGCTGAGCTCGTGGCTTATAGAGAAAAATATGGTGTCCTGATGGGAGAAGATTTTATGGAATCTGGAGATGAGATTGATGAGGATTGTCATGATTTGAAAACAGAGTCTCATTCTTCTTATACCGAAAGATACGAATGTCTCAGCCCATCTTATAGCTCCACAGAAGGGCAAAATAATGTTGAAAATGTGTTTTATCAAAGCAAGTCTCCATCTTTTCTGGCTGTTGAGAACGGAGGGGAAACTGAAGACAAAGCACTGAAGGCTTTTCAAGGGCAAGAACCTCATCGTCTAGGTCGGCTGAACAATTGGGATAAGAAAGTACATGTTTCATCAGATGACGGGGATCTTTCCTCGCAGTCTAGTTCCGATGATGTTAACCACTCCGAGAAAGTGACAGGTAAGTCACTTGCATAGATGCTTCCATTAAGTATCTGAATAATCTCCACATTTCCTTAAATCATCTAAGGATACTTTTTTTTGTATGGAATATCAAGCAAGGGAAGCAGATTTAGTCAAAGGATCCTCACATCTTCATGGATCAGCAAAGGACCTTGATGCTGAAGCCGGATTCTTGAAGCTTGCTGATCATACACTCCAAAATGGTAGTGAAGTTACGTCGGATGGTCTTCAGAAGTTTTGTCAGTAGGTCACAACCGATGATCATGATGCATAACACTCATCCTAATCGTTTTCATGGTATTTGCTTTCCCTTTTGTAATCCATCTTAGAGAGTTGATAGACAACAACACATTTGACAAATGAATGCTATGTGCATCGACTTTTGTTTCTTTCTTTGTTGATTGCAAATATTCAACATTGTATCTCAATAATGTTTAATACACCTATTTTCTAGGATACCAAACATCTACTATGGATGGCATTAGGTACCATGCTTCCTCTATGATGCTAACTAGTTAGTAATGTGATCTTTTTCTTTGGCAGCTTGAACTGTTTTTTTTGTTAGGATGTAAATACAGCAAAATCATTGTCGGGAGATATTGAGGCCTTGAAGTTCGAAGCTTCTTGAAACTTTTGGATTTCAATACCCTCTCTTATGGAGGTAAGATATTTAATTTATATTTGTTGTATTTATCAATTAACATTATAATCTGGTGTCACAAACTCAAGGAGTACAACAACAAGAACAAGATGATGATAATTGAACTTCAAGTACATTGGTAAAATGATAATTCATGCAACAGATTCCAGATTTTAATACCATGAGCTATGTAAAAGACAGATACTAGGTTGAAAATAGCAAGCATGATTGATTTGATGTGAAATGTGAATGATCTACAAGCTAATTACATGATCCAAGTTGAGATTTACAATAAAGTACAGAAAATCATAGCCATAGCCTTCTGTCATGATTTAACATGTCCACTTCTTCACTTTTATACATCATGTATAACGGTGCATCTATGTAAGGCATGGGAGATGGTTACATTGAATCCTTAATTTTGACAAGTTGTGGCAGGCTAGAAAGTAGCAAGACTGGGCAGTCATCATGTCTCCAGCTATCTCAACCCATCTGGGAGAAAGACAGAAAGCGGGAATAATCATGTTCTTAATTCTGCAGACTTGATTCTTTTAACTTAAGAAATATGTTCTTCATCGGCATAAGCAATTACCAAGGTGCCAGGAGAGAATTGGTGGCGTCTAGCAGGAGTGCAAGAATCTTCGTTATCGATGAGCAAACTGCTCGGTGGCTTGTCATCCCTGCAAAATACTGCTTTTAGACAACTTATACTGTGATTTATCTTTTCCCAAAATTACTGTCGTTTTTTTTTCTCTTTCGACCAATCTTAGATTTTTTGAAAGCAGCACCTTTATGCTTTGATTTCAATCTTGCAACATCACTGCAGTTCACATGCCTGCTGTGCAGCTGGTACCAGGAAGTAAACACAGGACAGGAGTTATGACCAGGTCTGATAGGGGCAGTCAGTGTTTCTATTGATTTAAACCTTAAATAAGAGAGTCTCAACTCCGAGGAACCAAAAACGCAACTCAGTATTCTTCCAGATGCAGAATTGAATAAAAGGTAGCAAGCACCCTGTTGATAAGTCAAATCAATTATGCTATTTGTTCTTCGTTTCTCCTTTCCAATAAGAAGAGACTACAGATAAAAACTTACTAACCTTTCAAACTAATCGGAATGTAGAAATGTAGGCATCCAATATTTCAATCCCTGATAAAGGGTATATTGCTCTAAGCAATGTGAAGTAAAAGGAAAAAGGGTTAAATAGAAACAACTTGAGATATAAAGGAGAGATGTAAATAAAGCAATAAATAAAAAAGAGATAAATTGTGTATGCGAGACTGTCATCTTTCATGGATGCCCTATTAATATTGGCTGCAAACACCAGTTTATCCTTTTGATGACTTCTCTGATCTTCTATGCGATTACATGAACTCCTGTTATAATTAATCAACAAGAGTACATGAAAACATCAGTTTTCTAACATGAACTCTTGTTAGAAAAGTGATTAGGATAACTTGAGTAGAATTTTTTTTTAAAGATAAATGATATATCTCAGTTCATAATTTATTAAATAGATAAAATCAAATACAAGAAATTATTTCTAATTAACTCGAATTAGTATGATAAATTAGTAATCTTGATAATTAGGATTGAGTCAATTTGGGATATTCTATTAGATTCGCGACTCAAATCATAAGATTAGAATAACTCGATAAAAAAAATAAAGAGAATTACAAAGATTTTTTGAAAAAAAACACATATTGACTTTTCAAATTCATGACCCGAGTTACTAGACCCGAAACATCCAATTTGAAAAAAAAATCATGAAATCCAATTTCTAATCAATCAAATATTAAAAGATGAAATAAAAAAATTAATTATATAAAAGAATTTAAAAAATTAAAATTAAAAGAATGAGGATCAAAGTCCAAATATCAAATAAATTTTATATTTGATTGAAAGATAAAAATGAAATGAAAAATCAATTTTGCAAAAGAATCAAGAAAAATTCAAAAGAACGAGGATCAAGTTTGATATGAAAAATAAAAAAAATTAATGATTGAAGGGTGAAATTGAAAAGAATAACAACTTTTTTTAAAGAATCAAGAAAAAAAATAGAAATCAAAATAATAAAAATCAAATTGAAAAACTTATCATTAATTTGTGTTGAAAGATGAAATTAAAAACAAATAGAACTTTTATAAAATAGCCATGGAAAAAAAATAAAAATGACCAAATTGAAAAACATTATATTTGTAAATTGAGATTGAAAGATGAAATTAAAAACAAATAAAATTTTTATAAAAGAGTTAACAACAAAAAATAAAAATTAAAAAATTAAAGATTGAATTTGAAATACTAACAATAAAAAAAATCAAGTTATAATTTTAATAAAAAAATAATAATTTATTAATTACAAATCAAATCACCAACATCAACATGTATCGCTTCAAAGGGAGTATTGAATATTGAGAGGTGTGACACTTATTTTTTTTAGTTAAAAACTAAATTGCCTTTTACCTTACTTAACAATAACACAAAAAACATTGTGAAAAATTTTAAAACCTTTTAACTAATTTTATTTTTTTGTTTTTAAGGGCATTTTATTTATTTCATAGAGCATATAATATTTTTATTTTTTTATATTTGTGTAAATACTAAATTGCCTCTTAATTGATATTATAATAATAATAAAATTATTAGGCAAATACAAAAATGCTTCTTGTTTAAATTTTTACTTCTAAGTGCATTTTAATTATTTCACTGTGTTAAAATAATTTTTTTATTTATTTTTAATTAATATAATAATAATAGATCAATTTAATTATAATAGATCAATCATATAAAAAAATTTAAATAGTGTTAAGTTTTTTAAAGAAAAAGAGCAAAAACAGGACTACACAATCCAATAAATAATGTTTTTAAATGTAGAACAACAGTGTTTTCAAAGAGATTTTAGCTTTTTTTAATTTCTCATTAGTCATGAACAACTATTATTTATACAAAACCCAAATCCAAAATCCATAAGATAAAGATATTATTATTATGGGTCTATATGGAAAGATTTGTTTAAAAATATTATTGTGATTTTTTTTTAAAATATTTTTTATTTAAAAATAATTTTAAAATTAATATATTAAAATAATTTAAAAACATCAAAAAAATATTAATTTAAAATAAAAAATTTTAAAAAATTTAATTTTTTTAAAAAACACGTTTAAAATAAAAAAAATATTAGAAATTTCAATCCAATAAATAATGTTTTTAAATGTAGAACAACAGTGTTTTCAAAGAGATTTTAGCTTTTTTTAATTTCTCATTAGTCATGAACAACTATTATTTATACAAAACCCAAATCCAAAATCCATAAGATAAAGATATTATTATTATGGGTCTATATGGAAAGATTTGTTTAAAAATATTATTGTGATTTTTTTTTAAAATATTTTTTATTTAAAAATAATTTTAAAATTAATATATTAAAATAATTTAAAAACATCAAAAAAATATTAATTTAAAATAAAAAATTTTAAAAAATTTAATTTTTTTAAAAAACACGTTTAAAATAAAAAAAATATTAGAAATTTCAAAAATTATTATATTAACACTAAAACCACAACCTAATATAACACCTTGGTTATAAGATTTAGTCCAAGAACTGATCAATCCATGAGTCAAAACCCAATTTTTTTAATATCTAAACACTATCATTTTAATTTTTTTAAAAATAAAACATTACCATTTTGATCCAACAAAATCAATTAAAAAAGAAATCCAATCTAGGCCAAGTTCCAGGTTCGGAAAGCCACGGATAGATCCCCCCATTTTATAACCATGAATCATTTGTGTTCAGAACAATGAAATAACATGGGATGCAATGCAAAGGTCCAAAACAAGGCAAGTTTGGTTCTTCTACTGTTTTCAATGCAAAAATAAGCACAAGTTATTTCAATAAAAAGCCGTACCTGTTGAACTCATGACCATTTTCTAAGCTAGTTTTCCACAGATTACTTCAGTTTATCACCAAAATACCGCAGGGGGTAGACTGGATATTATCTCCATTATTTCCACCCAAAATGACAGACTTTATGAATTTTTCCCATTTTCAGATGTTCAACAAATTGAACGAAAGTTCAGACGCAATGAAGGCAGTATATATGCATTCAGAAAGTAACATAGAAAAACAAAAATCAATAGAAAGGCAGTATATAATAAAATCCTAACGGACAAGAAATAAAACAAACGTGTTTTGATAAACAAAATCAAAAGAAACTAGTTCCAATGACAGCACTCCGTCAGTTTTCAACAATTCAAAAGAAAAATTTCATCGAGCACTTGCAGAAGTTGTTTAACCAAGGGGTGTAAACTATATGATGAATGCACTGTTATTGCTGTTTCTTTCACTTCCTAAAATACAAGACAAAAACCACGTAAGTAAACTTATAAACTCACAAGAACGCGGAAACCATAGAACAAAAACTGACCAAAAGAATGACAATAACGATGTTTCTTTGTCTCCATCAAGTAAACACCAAAATCCTCTATTCTGTAAGATGCATCTACAAAACCACAACCATAAATTTGAAAAATTTGCCAACCAAGGGTAAGCTATGCAAATTATAAAAAATAGTCAGGAGTTCTGCGCGTTGTATCGGGTTCAATCTGTCGAGGTGCGGGATCAAATTGAAGGAAATTCTGCTCCATATTCTCCCCTATCTCCAGTATTGCAGCCATATTCCCACAGCGATAGCAGTAATTTGGTGCACTGAACACTGTCACCACATTCTTGTCCTACAGATATTTGAAGTAGATAATAATAAGGATAGAATTTTAGAACTTCAAGGGTAAGTAAATAATAGTCACTTGGAGTCCACAAACCTGGGACCAATTGTATCCTTCCATGACAAGCTGGTGAGCTCTAGAAATGAGAGTGAGCCCATTAGTGTGGTTGAACTGTTGAGAGATATCCTGTCCAAAGGTGTATCCAGCCCCACGAGGAGAAATTCCCCATCCACATCGATCATCCGGATCAGACCAAAGGAGGTCACACATTGGACCCTCGTGAGGTACCTAATCATGGGAAAAAATAAGGCAGCAAAATGAAATGGCAAAAATAAGGGAAAGATACATGTGGTGAGCAATACCAGCTAGTCATGTATACCACAAAATTAACAATGGCAATCAGCTTACAGAGGCTACTTTAGTCATATTATTGAATAAGCAGTGATAAAGGCATTTGCTTCAATTCTCTAAAATGAATCTGAGCAGTGTCTCAATCTAAGCAAACTGTCCTAGATATCACTTCAATTAATAAACTTAATGCTAAATTTCACAGACTCCACACTTGTAAACGATGCGGAGTGGGAAATTTACACACAAACTGGAGGAAAATAGGCAATATTCACATAAATCAAAACAGTAGCAAAAGTATAGCTCTGACAGATATAGGTGGCAATTGGCTTCGACAAAGATTAACTGGTTTGGCCAGATAATCTTCTTATCTAAGACACGTCAAGTAAACCAGTTTGACATGCAAATGGAAAAGGTCTGCAGTCAGAGAATAAGTAATTTAAAAGCAAATAATCAGAAAAAATGTTAGCAGTTGTCAATCCAATAAAAGTAGCGTGATCACTGCAGGCATACCTCCTGTTTACGGTCTAGGGAACGAATATTATCTAATGTGTCCAAAGATGGGGAAAGACCACCATGCAAGCAGAAGATCTACAAGGTGATAACAAATGGTTATCAGCTAAGAACATAGCGCTAATTTAAGATCAAGGGCATAAATCAGGGTATGACAGAATTTTAGAATTTAAACCTGACTCTCAATTAGGGCCGTAAGTGGGAGATAATCAAAGAGGTCGGTGAAATGTTTCCAGACATTGGCATTTCCATATTTCCTCAAGCATTCATCATAAAATCCATACCTGAAGAGAGATATAAATGAGATATCGATAATGCACCACAGATATGATGATGTGGTGTAAGGAAATAAATAAAACACCAAAGTACTGGCATGTTGCATCTTTCTGGCTGACATTCTCCTCTGCTTCACCTCCTCTTTCAAATGTAAGAGAATTTAACTAATGACAGGCATGCAAGAAAAATAAGGAGACAGTCCAGGCATGTTATCTGCACTGGTACATTTTAAGTTTGTGCCTGGTTAAATACGACATATTCTTCTCTATCAAAAAGTTTTAACTTGACAAAACATGTGTCAGAGCAGTTTTTAGCCAACCAACTTGGAGAATAGATTATCCCACCAATTTAGAGTAGCATTGATCCATAACTGTACAAACATAAAATGAACAAAACTCTTACACTTGAGTTATTTGACGACTCTCATGATTTCCTCTTAGAATTGTGATCCTATCTCTATATCGAACTTTCAGTGCCACTAAAAGTGTGACAGTCTCCACAGAGTAATATCCTCGATCTGCATATAAAAAAAAAGAAAGAAAGTATAAACATGGTGGCAATTTCTGATACATAAAGTACTAAAACAATTCATAAAACAAAACATATGAGCTTAGAAACAAAAGTTCAGTATTAAAAAAAAATAATAATCCACTTAGGCATATTCAGATTGTAAAAGAAATTTGGCACGACTTAATGATAAAAATAGAAGTACATTTAAGTTATAACAATGTCTCTAATAATTTGTGTTCTGCCAACTTGAGAGTTTAACTGATAAAATGTTCAGCCTGTTTTGATTATCTAAAAAAAGCATATGCGGCACTTTCCTGGTGGCCTCAGAGTGCTTACTCTTCACATTTAAGCTACCAGTCAGTATCTGGATTATAATAATGGGCTTGAAACCACCCTAAGAATCTACTCAACCTGCACAATACCAAACTCTACTACATGGGTAACAGAGTAAAGAGCAAAAACCTCATCTTTTCTACTCTCTTTCTTTCTTTGTAAAAAAAAGTAACCACATTGCCATTCATTTTCTTAAAAGAAGCTGGAAAACTACACTCTTAATATTCTTTTCTTACATCAATTCCACATAGTCCCCCAGTCAATAATCTCATTCTCAGGTAGGTGGAATTATGCAACATGGAAAATAAATAAACAAAACCCAAAAAAATAAAAAATAAAAACATTTCAGTCACTAATTATTAGCCAAAAAAGGGGGAGACGGAGGAAACAGACCTACATAGTCGCCCATGAAGAGGTAATTAGTGTCAGGAGCGTTACCACCGATTCGAAAGAGCTCGACAAGATCATGGAACTGACCGTGAATATCACCGCAGACAGTTACAGGACATTTGACAGGCTGAACGTTCCATTCCTCCACAAGGACCGCTCTGGCCTGCTCACACAGTGCTTTAACTTCTGCTTCAGCTAGCGGCTTGCACTGCATCAAGTGCTCGATCTGACGGTCCAGATCCGCGTGAGACGGCATCTTTTCTTCACTTTTTTGAAAGGGATTTTCGGATCGAATCCAAAAAAGGGCGATTCAATTTGATTTCTCTTGGATGATTCAGGTCATGGCCATCGTGCAGACCGGAGATTGGGGATTCTGAAGTTACTAGGGTTAAGGATTCGGGAGAAAACACGAAAATTGGAGGGGCAAAGAGAGAGAGAGAGAGAGGGGAGGGTGGGGAGACTGGCTGGGGTTCTCCTCGTTGTCTATTTTTCTTTTTTCCCCCCCGTAGGTTGGTGTAATAATTTAGAGGTTTTTTTCCCCTAAATTTTGGTCCCTGCTATTTGTGTGGTATTTTTTGTTTTTTAGCTTTTGGCCTATTTTTGTGGTTTTTGTTAACAATGGAATATTAAGAGTAGAAATTATCCTTTATTGAAATTAGTTTTTGAACTTTAATTTTTAATATGCAATTATCATCCCTCTATTAAAAGAATTTTTATTGTGAAGATTTTATATTATCAAGATAATAACTAGAAATTTCTTATTAATTACTTTAAAATCTATGCAATATATATATAAAGAGAAGAAAATCAATTTCATAATTTACTAAAAATAATAAGAATATTTCAAATTTGGATTTCTCTCTTTTATTTATATCCTTTTTATTTCATTGAAGTAAATATTTTAAAATAATTAATAAAATTTCACTAATTATTCTTTAAATGTCATGAAATTTATCCATGTATTATATTTATAAATTATTATTTGCTATGAAAATTAATAAAAAAATATATTTTTTATAAAAAATAATTTCAGCACTCAAAAAAATAATAATTTAGAATTGATCTGAGATTTAGTATAATTTATATATATATATATATATATATATATATATTTTAAAAAATATCCTGTTGAAGTTAGAGTGAGTGGAGTTTTAAAAAAATAAATAAATAAAAATATATATTAAAAAAAATAAAAAAATTAAGAAACATAATAGTATAATTAATTATTAACAAGCTTGAGCCTTTGATGGAATATGATGCAAATTGAATACGGAACACCTCGAATGTCAAGCTAGATGGCTCATCCTCTACCTTGTTTGTCAAATACTTCAAAGTCAACTTCGACGCTTAACGATATTTATGTAATTAAATAGGAAAGCACGCATTGCTTTATTATTATATAATAAAGCAGTGTAATATTGTACTTTAAAAGAAGTTAGAAAAATATTATATATTTACTGTGAATATAAAATTATTGTATTATAGAACATAATATAGATATAAAATATTTATATTGTAAATAATATTGTAATGTCATGGAAGTCTTATTTTTACTATTTTTTAGTTAAAAAGTATTGTTAGGGGTGTCATTTTTTCTATTCTATGTGCAAAACACGATTGAGCTTGGCTACCAACACTATCAAGTCTGGTTAGGTAGTGGAATTCTATAATATCGGGTTCTTTTATCCACCATGGCTTCAAAGCGTTGGGTTTAATTGTTTGATACTTTTAAATTTAATGTTATTGAATATGTTTTTGGAGGTAAATTTAATGTATTTAATATAATTTTTTTGAAGATTTTATATTATCAAGATAATAACTGGAAATTTCTTATTATCATCCCTCTATTAAAAATATTTTTTATAAAAAAATAATTTCAGAACTCAAAAAAATAATAATTTAGAATTGATCTGAGATTTAGTATAATTTTTTTTATATACATATATTTTTAAAAAAACATCCTGTTGAAGTTAGAGTGAGTGGAGTTTTTTTTAAAAAATAAATAAAAATATAAAAAATTATTATTATTATTATTATTACTAATACTATAAAAAAATAAAGAAAATTAAGAAACATAATAGTAAAACATTTTAAAAAATATCCTGTTGAAGTTAGAGTGAGTGGAGTTTTAAAAAAATAAATAAATAAAAATATATATTAAAAAAAATAAAAAAATTAAGAAACATAATAGTATAATTAATTATTAACAAGCTTGAGTCTTTGATGGAATATGATGCAAATTGAATACGGAACACCTCGAATGTCAAGCTAGATGGCTCATCCTCTACCTTGTTTGTCAAATACTTCAAAGTCAACTTCGACGCTTAACGATATTTATGTAATTAAATAGGAAAGCACGCATTGCTTTATTATTATATAATAAAGCAGTGTAATATTGTACTTTAAAAGAAGTTAGAAAAATATTATATATTTACTGTGAATATAAAATTATTGTATTATAGAACATAATATAGATATAAAATATTTATATTGTAAATAATATTGTAATGTCATGGAAGTCTTATTTTTACTATTTTTTAGTTAAAAAGTATTGTTAGGGGTGTCATTTTTTCTATTCTATGTGCAAAACACGATTGAGCTTGGCTACCAACACTATCAAGTCTGGTTAGGTAGTGGAATTCTATAATATCGGGTTCTTTTATCCACCATGGCTTCAAAGCGTTGGGTTTAATTGTTTGATACTTTTAAATTTAATGTTATTGAATATGTTTTTGCAGCTAGATTTAATGTATTTAATATATTTTTTATATTTTTTTTTATATTTAATTTTTTTTTATTATTAATCGGCTATAAAGCATAGACCAATATACTAATATATAAAATGTTATGATGTTATGTTTTAAATTGTAGTGTGTATGTATAAAAGAATAGGTAGTGTTCATAGAGTATTTTTTTAGCATTGTCAAAAAATTTAATTATGAATTGAAAAATTAATGTTTATGTTTAATAAAATAAAACAAAAATTATATGCGTTAATTTTTTACAATGAATTTTTTTTTATTAGAAACATTGTTTTTAAAATAATAAAAACTTAGCATGATATTAAAAGCTAGTTTTCATTAAAAAAAACACATTGAAAATTAAAAGAATATTTATAATTTGTATGCAATTGAAGAAGAAAAGAATGATTACTATGAGAAAATTATTTAATAAATTCATAATAAAAATACAACAAAATATAAACTTTATTTTCATTGAGTATTCATGACCGGGAATTAAAAAAAAGGTCTACATAGTAGGTTAATATATAATAATAAACAAAATAATTACTAAGATTACTAAGAAAAATACTATAATCTTGTCTAAAAATGAATGTCAAATCAAATGGTATTTAATGGGATAAAATTCTAAATATAATCTTAATTATTTAATTATAATAATTTTAACTAAACTTTAAGGAGAAAATCATGAAGTATTGTAAAAAAAAAGTAATATCATAAAAAATATTATAACCTCATTTAAAAAAAAAATTAAATTGAATAATCTTTAATAAAATAACATCCTAAGTATAATAATAATAATAATAATAATAATAATAATAATAATAATAAAGGTTTGTATCCAACAAGGCTGAGAGCTTGGTTCTAGAAGGGCTGACGTGATTGGCCCAATAAAAGAATGCTAGGGGTGTGTTCTCTTGTTAGGTTTATGCCTGTGACCTTTTTTTTTTTTTTCAATTCATTTATCCTCATTTGTTTTTAAAAAAGATGACATGTAGTGGCAAATAATATATTGTTTTTGTATATATATATATATATTTTGATCATTTCAGTTATTGGACAGTTGGGTTCTAATTTATTCAATTAAAAAATATATTTTTAATTTATTTTCATCTAAAAAATCTAAAAAATTAATTTTTAGTCTTGAATCAACCTTCAATTAGCCTATAAAAGAAGAAATTATCACAAATAAAAATAATAAAAATGAACCTTAATTTATTTTGTTGGGTAAGATAAATGATAAAAAAAAATATCTCAATTACATCCTTATTATCATATAAAACTCATTAATACTAAGATTGATTTTTTTATAGTTACAATGATGCTAATTGATGATTTTTTCTCTTTTTCATTATTTTTTGATGACTCTCTTCTCTTAATCAAACTAAAAAACTAAAATGTATATATAATAAAGTTTTGGACCATAACTTAAAATCCTAAAACTAAAGGGACCATAAAAGAAATCAATGGAGAATATGTGGACTAAAACATACCTTTTCATGAGAGTTTGAGATTGATCACATTGTTTTTTCTTGTTGTTAGTTTGGTTCCTTTTTTAATTGTTTCCTTATGCAATAACTTCAAATTATATCTAATTAAATTCACTATAATCAAGCTCTTCAACCTAATAAAACCTTACATTTTCAAGAACATAGAAAGAGAAAAAAACTTTCAACTTGCAACACATTACAAACAATTTATTCAAAAAAACAATAAAAAAAATTGATGACAAAAAAATATTATTTATGTCCATGAAAAATTGTGAAGCAAGCCACAATATTTGCGTGCTATAATCTTTACACCACATAAATTAGTTTTCTTTTAAAAATAGTATCATTTAACTTCTTTTTTTTATATTTCTTTATGTAATTTTTTAATAAAAAATATGAACATACTTAAACACACTCAAAATCCTTCCTAGCTTTTCTCAAAATGTTATCATTATTCTAAGAAATTCTAAAAGTTATGGGAAAATCAATATAGCAAAATCATACTGAATTGAAATTAGTTTTTTTTTATTTGAATATTATAAACTATTTTTTTGGTAAACTATAGGTTTTTCTGTTCAATTTTCATCCTTTAATATTTTTTATGACCGCTTGTGTCATGGCACAAATATATTATCTATTCATGATAAAAATTAATAAAAAAACATATTTTTCATAAAAATAATTTGAGGCAATCAAATAAAAAAAATAACATTTAGAATTGATCCAAAATTTAGTATTATTTTATATAATTTAGATTTTTTTTAGCAATACTCTTTGAAGATTAGGGGTTGGCTAAACTTTAAATAACAAAAACAAACTGAATAACAATGTAATTTGACACGACTAAAAGATTGATGTCTTCTCCCAAGTGCATAAGTGTCGAAGTAATAAATAACTCGACAAGACTGGAGTCGAACCACAAAAAGGTTAATTATGTAAATTATAGATGACAATAATACAACAACAATAACAATAACAATAACAACAACAATAATAATAATA